ATACTAAAGAATCCCATCCGGATTACTCTAGCAATAATCTTGCTACCAATGTTATGTACCCACGAAAGCAACTGACCCTTAAGTTTGGAAATCCAAATACTGAAGAATCCTTGCCATTTGTATCTAACAGCAAATACTCACCGGGGAAACTGACTCTTAAGTTTGGAAATCCAAACACCAGAAAATCCTCGCAAAATGACTCTAGTAAACCTGGCACCAATGATCGCCTAGCCTTCAGGAAATTGACAGAACTATCAATGCGGAGTCGGTCTACTTCCCCATCAATGCGGAGACGGTCTATTTCCCCATCATTGCGGAGACAGTCCTTTTCATCTGGAGATCCAAATATTGAAGAATCTGAGCGAAATGACTCCAGTAGTAGCCCCGCTGCCACTCGGATGACATATCATTGGACGTGAGGAATGTTTTTGATGGGTTGGTTCAATGGATTATGGACATACAATGAAGGGTTCTCGTCGAGGGGGTTCTTGTCGAGGGTTCTTGTGCATGATATGATGGTTTGGAGGCATCTTATTTACGTGCGCATCTTGTGGTTACGGGCCCTGGCTGGGATTGAACATCGAGAATCGAGATTCTTTGAAGTGGTTGATGTGGAATGGATACGGTGTAGAGTGGTAGAGGGTTGTATAGTCGTTGCAAGGTGAAAATGCATTGAATGGAATGGATGCATTGTTCGTTGGGATGTGAGTAGAGTGATACGTTTCAGATGGAGGTTTTATATGAAGAAATTGATTTGTCATGCTTTCGCGTTGTTGTTATTGTTATTGTCATTTTTCCTTCAAATAGAAACTCGGGCCAAAGTAGAATGGCGGTTGGGGAGTGACGTAGAAGTATAACAGCATTCAAGTTCCTCGATTGCATACCGGTATTACATTCAGTTATATTGCAAGGTATCAATTATGCCATAGCTTGGTGGTGAAGATAAAGGAGGAAGGATTCTTGGGCTTTAGCTAGACTTTCTTGTAGACAATGTAGACTAAATTGCATGGATGTATACATTGTATATATAGTTGTTAACGTATTCATGGGCATGGGATGAGTGAGATGAGAATAGATGTTTATTTTCCACTGTGCTTCGATATTGTAACGAGTCTATGCTTACATGGAGTGTAGTCTGTATATAGTCCTAGCTCCTGTAAACTCTTGGGTTTCTTGTAAGCCTTAAAATATTTGAATTGTTAGATAGAGTAATTGTGTAATTAACTATGTATCTATTCTTTACGATTGAGTTCGATATTGAACTTATAGATAGATATTGGGTCAATAAACCAACCATCAAAATCCAGATATCCTTCGTTCTCTTTGTAGTGTGCATACCTAGTAAATTACTTTGAGCGCTAGTTAGTAGTTAGTAGTTAGTAGCTAGTAGTTAGTTAATAGTTAATCAACTTAACCGATGCGGAAACGCTACCGGTATAGTATTTCACTTTATAAATCGGCGCCGTCGTATCGCAGGGTAAGTCTTACATACTGTAGATACCAAAGACGATTCTATTCTCTATTCTAGGAATTGCACCGAGTAAGAGAGAAGAGGCCGCGGAGGCGAAGTGTATATAGAGTGGTTTTTAGAATCTGTCCTACAGTACTACACGAGTATAGTTAGTGTAAGGGGATGCAAGTCAAGACGTGAGGACTCGCAGATTAAATTAATCAATAACGTGACAGATAAAGATGGGAGGGAGATTAGGACATACTTTTTGGGTGTGAGTATGAGTATGAGTATGAGGTTGTGAAAAGGGATTTTCTATACTGATGTGATACACATGTGTGTTTACTGAATCATGGAAAGTTTTTGAGGTTATTTACTGTGGGTATGGGATCTTTCTGTGATATACTTGTACACATATATATCTGATATACTCGAGTACATTATAGAGTAGTTTATACAAATCTAATTTAAGTCCCCTTCTCTCCATCTTCTCATTCTTATAATACCTGCCCGCATAATCCTCTTTGATTTCAACTATCTGTATCTCTATTCCTAACTCCATCCTGTCACGTATTGTTATATGCCCCATATCAAAACCTTCTCATTCATCACACGCTTGTTGAGAAGGAGACGGCGAGTTTGGTGGGAGAGGAAGGAGAGGGGGGAGAGGGAATTAGTGGAGAGGGTAAATGGTCTGTGGATCTGAGTGACTACTGTTCTGTAATGTAGCTCGTGACCTTGTGCGCTGGTGCTGCTGGTGCTGCTGGCGGGGAATACAACCCATAAGTTATAACCCATAACGTATAATCTATAAGTTCATTGATATACATATATATATACTCGTATATGATTCGATATTATAAAGCTTTCTAGGCTCGGGATTCAAAGCGGCCGGCTTGCAATTCAATTATTCAAATAGTCTAGTCGTGTGGTGGGTATATGAAATAGAGAATAGAATTTGGCATGCTAATGGTTGGAAAGAAAATGAACGCTAGGAGGAAGACTAGGAAGACCTCGAGTAGATGAGCATGTAGGAGGAAAATGAAGGGAAAGAATTGGGGAGTAGGGGGGAGTAACCTACTCGTCCGTGTTGATTGGAACAGTGCTTCTGCATGAGAGGAAATGTACCGCCGGAGGAATAAATTAGAAATCAGAACTGAAGGAAAGTGTTACTTATTTACAATACTCGAAAATGTGCGGAATAGTTGGATATAAAAATACATTTATGATTTATCAGGCTAATAAAGGTGATGCGAGAGAGAAATAATCTTTATTCAGCACTCGCCAATCTTGTTTAACTTTTTTGAGTACTCTTGTGTTGTCTATATATCCCCATACTGAATTTGTTGTAGGTTTATTTACGAACTAATGTATATATATAGATAATGTATTAAACATCCAAGTTATCCCTAGAGAATGCCTGCGATCTATGCTCGGCCAAGGTTTTAAATTCTTCCATCTAATATGGTGCCATATCATTACTTCTCTGTTCAAATATTCGCCATCGCCATCTATTACACCTACCAGCGGAAGGCTTCTAATGAGGGGTCATGAGAGATCTAGCAGAAATGAGCAGCAATAGATACATTATAAACACCGTATCTTGAGCTATCTACCTAGAATCAGAAACTTCTCTCATTGCTATGCTCAAGTAAAGTTACGCTAATAACTATAGAGAGCAAATGCATTGTGCATTCTCCCTCATCTCTCGCCTTTTGATTGTCTTGATGTAATATCGATATGTTACTCCCACTCACTGGCAATCACTGTACGAGTAAACTCATTTGTTTAATATGTATATCAATGATCAATCCTTGCAGATGCTTAATCCTATCGAGTAGTCTGAAAACAAGAAGAACTTATTGAATATATGATATATATGCTATCGTATTCGTATTGTATATCTCGTATCTTCACTTGAATCTACAGAATATATAAGCGCAACATGAACCTCGTATATCAGTGATCATCACGTATGATAGAAGAGATAGTTATGAATTATCAAATTTGATATACCCATATCTAAGTCACCCTTCCTACTCGTGCTAGAGGGAAATCCAATAATACCGCGCCCGAAATGTACATTATATTTCACGCAAGCACCCCCTCGAGGCATCATTTTCGGCCTAGACAATGTCCTCTTCACCTTGCCAACACAACCATGAATTCTTCAGCTCGAGATTAGAGAAATACCGGTACACATTATATTCAATACAACTACCTATCTGGTATAATTATGAGCGTGGAGAAATCACTTGGGATACCGGTATTTATTACGAGCTGTGTACTCGATAACCCGAGTTTACCTCCCGGCGTCTGAGATTGGGGAGGTGATTGCCCACGCAAGTGAGTCTTTGTAGCATGACCCATACCATCGTTTCGTGCCTGTGCGAATTGCCTGTGCGAATTGAAGAAAGACTTCGCGATTCGGGTGTACCGGTATAGTTGCTGTATTCTAAGTCCAATATTAGCAAAGAGTATTTAGAGGATCTCGTTACAGAGATAGACGCTTCTCTCTATATAATTAGATACAATTAACTGCAAGGGCGTCCGAAACTAGTGATAGTTATGCGAGATCACGTGATTTTTTACCAAGGCAAACTACTTTAGATCTATATGAGTATATCTCACTAGAGAAGAAGAATATAATTTTATCGGAGAATATTATAAATGAAACAAAACTCATAAACTTTCAATCCCCTCAAAAACGTGACCGTCATCAAATAGTGTTTAGCATAATGATAATGATGTCAGTGCTCAGACCATGCATGGCTTAGCTCAAGCTAGCAAACGAGCAACATCTGTTTTCAGCTGATGAAGGAAGGCGAAGTATAAACTACAACTAACTGCAAGCACCAATGAATTTGCGACCAGCTCATCATCATCACTATACCAAGAAGACGTGTCTATGTCAAATACTACGAAATACTACGAAAACTACTGCGCAAAATCATGAGGAATCTTTTGGATGCGGATATACATATCCATATCTATATCTATATCAAAGGTAGGAGATAGATGGGAGATAGGTGGGAGATTTGGAATCTTTCCGAGAGTATTACATTACAATTACATTGCTGCGCAAAAGTAAGTAAGTTAGGTACGCGTGGTGGTGATTTGATATAATATTCATTGAAGATTGAAACAAAGAGAATGCTCTCGATATGATGATGTAGATCCATACACTATTAACCAAGAAAATAGTGACGTTATACTTTTTGCCATGGAACTAGGGACGGCTGCCACAAATCAAAGGGTAAAGGGTTTTTTCTAAAGGATGAGACTAGAACCTTGGTCATACCTTTTAAAAAAGTTGGATTTTGGGGTATTTCTTCTGAGGAAGGAGTATTTGATATCTTGATTTGAAATTTACTAAACTTACTTGACTTCAATTTTACAGATTTCGATATTTTCATATCTTCAACTTTCTTCTTAAGCATACGATAAGATACAACAATACAGCACTACATACAGTACTACAGCGCGCCATTCAATAATAATCGAATAACATCAATACACTTCCTATTCAAAATACACTACACTACACAATATGGGTTTTCTTCCAATCGATACTCGCGAGGCTTTGCATTTGAATGATCTTCATTCTCGAGCTACATGTTACCGTCGAAACTATGGGTTCGTATTCACACACACACACACACACACACTCTCTCTCTCTCTCTCTCTCTCTCTCTCTCTTCGTTGCGTTCGATTGAATGGAATGGGATTCAAAACAATTTGATCACATAACTAACTCACCATCAAAGTTACTACACATGTAGATCCGGATGGTCTCGCTTTGGAAGATGGATTTTGGCCGGTGTACTGATATTAATCGGTCTCGTATTCCTCTTTGCGTTTATGTAAGTATCACTCACTCCCATTCCCACATCACAACTCATCCCATCCCACCCCATCCCACTCCCAAATCACATCCCCATCTCCGTTCTCCTTCTCAACCCAAAACTAACCTCTCCCTCCCTCTCCTTCAGGTGCATAACCCGCAAACGTCGTCGCCGCAACCAAATTAAATCGAGCAATCAACCCATGGCCTACACACAACCCACCAACACCAATACCAACACATACGGTCAAGCACCTGTTTCCAATACCTATAATCAGCAGCCTGCCCAAGACTACAATTATTCACAGCCTCAACAATCTTATGCTCCGCCTGCGGGGGCGCCACCTATGTATGGAGGTGGGGGTGCGCATGTGGGTGCGAATCAGGATTATTATGGTACGAGTGGGGTGACGCAGCCGGCTAATACTTATGCTAAGTAATGGAGGATGGAAAGGGTGGAGGGTGAAGAGGGAAGGAAAGGGTGAAGAGTGGTGAAGGTGAAGAGGAGAGTTGCGGATGGATTGATGGATGGATGGATGGATGAGGAAGATACCAGGATAATATTGAGCTGATGAACATGCCTACCTACCTACCGACCGACAGATGGCTTGATGAATGGATGAACGGATGGAAGGTTAGTGGGAAACTGGACAAGGATTAATGGATAATGCATTGGCGTTCGCGCTGACTTTTCGAAGGAAGAAAGGTTAGATATGATATTAATGAAATTCTCAAGTTGAAGCTCATTTGTACTTTGCGTGTATTTGTGATATATATATTGTAGTGAGTGCAATTTTGTCAAAGTTTGGTCTTGTATGGCGAATATCAATACCCCGTTTCTTTCATGGTTCACGCTTCATGCTGCAGTATCTGGGGAAGCTGCTGCTAGAATGAATAGAGGTTGTGATATGTATGGATGGAATTCCTTCTTGATTTTCTCATTCTTTCTTTCCTTCTTATCACTTCAATAATTCTTGTCACGCTTTCAACCAAACCAAATCAAACCATCCCTCCCTCCCATTCCATACTCAATACTCAATATAAATCAATACCAAATCAAGAATCTATCCATCTATCCATCTATCCATCTCCAATAAACATCTATTCCATCTCTAACAAGTAAATAAATAGCTTTGATATCAAGACTATACTTATACTATCATATCCCTCCCATCATATATCATAAAATAACGATATCTACCTGCCTTCCCTTCCCTACACTCCTATACTCCTTATATTCATCTACGTTTTGGATTTGGATTGATGGCTCTGATGGCTTTGAGGGTTTGAGATTCTGGAGTTGGTGGGTGTGAGTAGTGGATGATAAGTGGTAGTTGGTAGTACCTTGGTTTTGGAATTTGGAATGTGGAATGTGGAATCTGGAAACTATAGGGCTGGGGTTTGAGTGAGGGGTTTGGGTGAAGGGTCGATTGTTCAAAATCACAGAAAGGGAATTTGATTGGCTTGATCTGGAAGTACTCGATTGTGGTATCGGATATACGAGTACTCATATAAATCTGTTTATACTCATGCTTATACTTATGCTTTCACCAGTCAAGGATGCTAGATAGTTAGTTATACTGTAGTACATGTAAATGCCCTTCAGCTATTCATCTTTATCTCATCTTCAACTCAGATAACTTTATATACCGGTGTGCAGGAATAGAATTTAGAGTTTCTCTCGGGACCGAGTTTAGTTCCCTTTCTCCATTAGTTATGGATTTTATGATTTTATAATATAATAAGCTGGCTTTGAGCCCCACTAACCCCCACAAACCAATCTAACCCCACATCTTCTGCAAGCTCAGTAACAACAAACATCGATATATTAATCCCCACTAAATACATCTCGAATATAATTCTACACCCAAGTTTGATCCGGGATGAGATTTTGGTCTTCTATCAAGATGGCAAGTCTCAGATTATATGCATATGTGGATCTTATCTTCAATGATGATGAAAAGGATCGGGGAAAGAATAATATAAGAACTGGGAGGGAGTATGTCTCAAGTGTTTCATACCCAACCTATCCAGGACTACTACGAATCCGTGCGAAAGATCATGAATCCCGGACTCTCGTGCCACGAATCCGTAACCGTTACTAATGAATTCTATCGACTATTCCTCATCCCCGGTGGTTCACATCACACTGTGCGGTTAATTTAATGCAGCGGAAAGCAATGGGTCGTGGCCGTGGCCACAGACGAATTTGCAGGTTTGGATTAATTGGGTTGAGGAGGGGGTTGTGCCGGAGACGTTGAATGCGACGGTTTTACAGGGGGATAATAAGAAGGGGGATCAATAGATTTGTGGGTGGCTTCTTAGACTGGTTTGGGTGGGTAATGGGATGAGTATGAGTATGGAGTGTAGGTATGAGCAGGAGAGTATCGATTCGTGGATTTATGAGTTGGATGCTTTTGATTTACCGGTTTATTAGGTTCGTTGGGAAATGAAAAGAAAATAAAATGAAAAAGAGTTATTGTTGGATGTGGGACTTATGGGCGTTCTTAGTCGGTCTAATCGTTGCTCTTTAATTCTCCCTCATTCCTCATCCCTCATTCATATATGTCCAAATAGACATCGTTCAACTATATTCGCTATAGATTTTATTTATTTATATTCCAGTTATACCAGTTATACTTACTATATCTATATTATCATAAATATAAAACATATCAATCGATCGATATATTTATATTTCGGTAAATACCTGGAATAGCATCATTTTCAACTTTGATACTCGAAATAGTATATAAACTTTCTAATTAGGCCTGAATTAACACATTGTGTTATTTCAGTCGGTTTTTTTTTTCAAAAAGTGTTTTTTCAATCGTTTTTAAATAATGTATTCACCTAATCTCAAAAAAATAAAATGATGCTATTCTGATCACAAATTTATATGTTAATCTGTGTGACGGAACAGACGGCTCTCTTCCGCCCACTGGCTCATACTACATACATAGTATGATATGACGGCTCTTTTTGACCTTCCTTTCACAGCTTAGAGCCCTAGCTCTATAGCTCTAGACCTAGGCATCTTACGCCTAGGACCCTTTCACCCTTTTTGGCCTAGCCCTTATGGCTCCCAATACCTGTATATATAGTCCTCCTTTTAGCACCCTACATAGCTCTTCACTTGTAGATTCTAAGTACACAATCGGAGTCCTGTTTATACCCTTTTGGTCACATTATCTACAAGTCAATACTCACAGCTACGACTAGGGATAGTCGTTAAATCTATCCAAATCTCCCTCTCAAAACTAATGCCGACTGCATCGACACTATCTAGAAGTGAAGAATTCGCATCAGTCGATGACCTCAGATTTCCGTCAATAAAGTGACGACGCGATGGTTCCTCCAAAAAAGAAAGGCCAAAGTGGCACTCCTGGTTCTAGCAATAGCAAAAATCAGCGTGACTCACCCGGCCACAAGCACGACGCCACCAGTACTCCTCTTGACTTTCTAAGAGCTCCTGGTGCCCTTCGTCGTTCCCCTCCTCCCCCTCCTGGATCACTACTTGGTAACAATCCCTATACTTCTCCTTCAATGGAAGAGGTACAGGAAACCATTACAGTGAACCCCGGGAAACAACCAGGGCCTTACCCCTCTTTACCTACTTCCCCTACTTCGGAATCCTCCGCACTTGCGGAGAGCCGAGCCGACAACATCCATCTAATGCGGGTCTTGTATGAGATGGAACGAAAACTAGAGGAAGTACAGACTAAACTGGCGGAAAAAGAAGCTCCGTCTACCCCCACTTATAGTGGGAGTGGAGCATCTGGTAAGCAAGCCCCACTGACCCACACTTCCCGCTCTCCCTTCGGTCATACTACTCAAGTCCCTGGCCCCACCACATCACGCTATACCCACCGTGATGATACCCTCTCTGAGGATGAGCCTGTCCCCTCTGTCGAAAATCAAGGACCACGTCGCCCCGCTTCCATTCCTGCACGCTCTCATCGTACTGTCAGTTTCACACCTACGCCAGATACAGGAACGAATATCCGTCGTGAGAAAGCTCACCGAGCTACCTCTGCCTTGCACTCCTCTTTTCGACAACTCCGAGTCCCTGACCTAGCCACGAAACTTTCAGATGGCCAAGCTCCTGGTCTCCGGGTACAAGCATGGGACAAGATGGTCACGCATACTCTACGGGACTACCACGCTCACTTTCTATCTGATGATCACCGTCGCACATGGATTTACAATCAAACCGAGGGACGGTCACGTAGTACCCTGGAACCTCTCTACTTGGACGATAAATACGATGTTTATGACCTCATTCAGCAAGTAGTTTCTGTTATGCTAGACCCCTCTGCGGTTCGAACAGCCAAAATCAAATACAACTCTCTTGTTATGTTGCCCAGGGAAAGGTTCTTCGATTTCTATTCCAAGTTTCGTGATCTTGCCGCTCAGGCAGAGATCCTCGACGACGAGCGCCTCCGTGACGACCTATTCGACAAGGCAGCATACCGCTTGACAAGTACTTCTGGCCACGAGTTCGCACGTTCCACCAGAGTTGGTGAATATGCCGAAGTCCTAGGCAACCTCGATGTCGCCTATCAACGACTTGCTGCAACCCATGCTCTCCGTCCTCACCACTCTCTTCAGGGCACTCGCCCTACCCAATCACTTTCCACTTCCAGTGCTGCAACACCTCGTAGCAGTACCCCTGGAGTATACAACAGACCTGTGGCACCCTCTGGCATGCCTTACCGCTCGCCCTCTGCCGCACCTGTCCTCACTCCACGACACTTTTCAAGTGGACCCCTTCCTACTCCTTCCTCTGGTTTCAGACAAGCCACTCCTCAGTACACACACAACCCCTCTCTGCACACCCAAGTGCTACGAAAACCTCGAAAATGCTTTCAGACCACTACTACTGGAGAGGATTAAGAGATGATGTTGCCCGCTACATTCGCAATTGTGAAATATGCCGCCGTTCCAAGGTCCCTCGTGACAAGAAACCAGGACTCTTGAAACCCCTCAGCATACCGCAACGCCCCTGGCAACACATCACCATGGACTTCTGTAGCTTCAACAAAGATAAATATGGATATGACAATATCTTAGTCATTATCGATAGACTCACCAAATAAGCCATTTCCATTCCCTGTACTAAGGAATGTGGTGAAAAAGAGTTTGCCGAACTATTCATGTATCACATTTATCGCTACTACGGTTCTCCTACCTCCATACTCTCAGATCGAGGCACGCAATTCGTCAATAAGTTCTGGAAAGAGCTCTCGACCATACTTGGTATCACCCTGGTACATTCCTCCACAGACCACCCTCAAACCGATGGTCAAACAGAGATATACAACCAGTACTTACAGCGACGCTTACGCCCCTACGTCAGCTACTACCAAGATGATTGGTCACGTTTTCTACCATTTATGGATTACGCACAACTGACGTTGCCCCACGATTCTTTGGGTCAAATGACTCCTTTCGAAGTCCTCTACGGATACCCTCCTCGTGTCGAATGGGACTGGAAAGAACACAATTCTGATCCCCTCGACAAAATCAATATTCAGGAAGCCCGTGAATTCGCTACTCGTGCACATGGTGCATGGGAATTTGCCCGCAATCAAATCCAACACGCTCAAGATCGAATGGCCCAACAACACAACAAACACCGCCGTGAACCTGACTTCAAAGTAGGTGACATGGTGTGGTTGGACTCTCGATACTACAAAACTCAGCGGCCCTCCCGCAAGCTCGACTTTCCCATCACTGGCAAGTACGAGATTGTAGAGAAAATTGGACAGTCGTACCGACTTGCACTCCCGGCAACAATGCGTATATTCGATGTGTTTCCTCCCGAAAAACTCCGCCTCGCACCGGAAGACCCACTCCCAGGACAAATTAACCCTCCGCCATACCCCGTGAATATCACTGGCGAAGAAGAATGGGAAGTGGAGGAAGTATTAGCTTCAAAGTTGCGATACAAGAACGTTTTCTACCAGGTCTCCTGGTTAGACCACCCTCTGGATACCACATGGTACAGAGCAGATAATTTTAAATATTCCCCTCACAAACTTCAAGCTTATCACTTTAGTCATCCTAGCCAAGTAGGACCACCCATTGCCCTTACGGCATGGATGGAG